TCTAGCTAATCTCTTTTCAGAGAATATGTTTCCTTTCTGCTAAATATACCTGGGGCAAGGGCTATTTTTCCTGTCTAGTGTCTGCACTACACTCCTGAAACGGTTAAATATCTTGTGAGCACCAAGGATTGGAACTGCTAGAAGAGATGTGGTTATACAACTTAGTTTCATTTGTAGGTGTCAGAGTACTGTCCTATTTGCAAGTGGTCAAATACTGATGCATTTTGCCTGTGGTTCACAAACAGAATTATACAATAGCTGGCCAGGCATAAGCGCTGTCAGGAAGCTGTGTATGCCTCCGTATGAATCATGTAATGAGCTTTCTTTGTCCAGTGGAAGAAAATGTAAAACAAGGTTATTTGATTTGTTTCACAGCCAGCAGATAATAGTTTTTTGTACCAAAATTTGAACAAGAACTCACTCCCGATGGGCAGTTTGACCATTTTTATTCTACCTGCTAAAACACCAGTGACAAGGACTGTCTTACATTTGTAAACTTGCAGGACTAAGGGCCAGATATTTATTTCAATAGCACTTATATGACTTAAAAGTCTGGTCCCAAATCCACAAGGGGACTTCAGCATCCTGATCCCAAAGAAATTCAGAGCCCCAAGTCGGTCACAATGGACAGAGCATCCAAGAATGGGATTCACAGCAAACTCAGCAGAGAGGGACCTACTCTAGCCAACAGGAAATGCTGAGAGGGGTATAAGCCTTTCCCTCCTCTGGAGGCTAGAATCCTGGCTTGTTGAGGGGGACTGAGCCCACTCCTTGAGTTAGTTACCTGATAAAAGAGATCACCTCTCTCTCACAAACTATACGAGGGTGACCAAGCTGCTCCCCATCATGGCCAATAGCTAGAGCTCTCCTTTGGGAGGTAAAAGGTGAGTCCTCTTTATCCCTGCTCTGCCTGACCCAGTCTCCCATCTCTCAGGAGAGTGTGCTTACCACCAAACTACTAGGCACAATGCGGCATGTCTGCTAACCCCCTTAGCTAAGGGCTTTATGAATGGCAGACATGCTGTAGCAAAACCCCCAGTTTTTGCTGGGTTTTTTAAATTTAAAAATGCATTCCCTCCCCTTCTCCAACCACTTCTGACATTTTCTCTCCCTCTCTATTCCATATAGATAACTATAAGTGAGCTAAGACATAGGATAAGCTTCAGTATTTTATTTTGGTAGCAAGTTGTATTTGTTTTGTTTTTTCTCCTTCTTTATATTGTATAATTATTATGTTTATATTGATTTTTACTGTTCTATATTACTGTTTTACTGGTACCATATGACTTAGGCCTACATATGTAAGCTAGCATAAGTCATGTCAAGTTTCCATTTTGTCAAGTCTCCATCTTGTCCCCATGCCCTGTTGTGTAACCCATGACTCACACCTACCCCTCCTATGTAACTTGGTTCCTGAATGAATGGGGATGAATGCGGATGCTTGAGAAACAATGGCAGTAGGTCTAAAAATAGCTCCCTCTGAATGACCGAACCATCAAAACCAATACCTGGACCAACAACCCAGCGTTCAAGACACAAAAGATGAGGCAACCCACCATTGTGCCAAGGCTGCACATGCTGAGTAAGAACACCTGGAGCCCTCTGAAACAGGACTGACATTGCCTGGACAGGCCCTCCCCATAGGAGATCAGAGGTAGTCTGCCCCATAAAAAGGGGTAGTGATGACTGACTCCTTGGGATGCCCTCTCCATCTGGACCAGCACCATGCCACACCACCTATCCACCCAGAGGCCCTGCCGGTGACCCCCCTCTGGACAACACCTTCTGGACAAGGACCCCTTTCCAGCCTGCATAGGTAGCTATCACCCCCACCCTCTCTTCAACCAAGGACTTGGACTCTGCTTGTCTTCTCTACAGGGACTCCAGCCCTTCCACTGAGCCTCTTTCTCCTGCTACCATTGTGTGTGTGTGTGTGTGTGTGTGTGTGTGTGTGTGTGGGAACTAAGCTGTACAGTACAGTTTTCATTTAATAAAACTATTATTTGGACCCCTGAGTTGGGTTTTGCTTTACTACAGTTCCAGCCCTGCTCCAATCCCCTCTAACTTCTGTCCCATTTCTCACTCTCTTGCTTCTGGCTCACCGCCACCTCCAACACTTGTCCCATGCTCCTGTGGCTCCAGACATCCTGAGCTCCTCTCTGCCTGCAAACCCCTGTTTCTTTTCCACTATCTCATCCCCACTGCCTTTTCCCCGGATCTCTGCCACTTCTAGTGCCTTGTCTCCACTGCCTTTTCTCCTGATCTCTGCCACTGTTGTTGCCTTGTCCCCACTGCCTTTTCCCCTGATCTCCCAGCTTTCTGCCTCTGTCTCCTGGCTGTTTCCTCCTTGCCACTGGGCTTTTTCCCTTGCTTCCACCCCAGCACCAGGTGAGCCCGAGTAACCCCACGGCCACTTGACTTTAAGTAACCCCAAGCCTCAGTTCCTCAGCCAGCTTCTCTCTAGTCTACCGGTTCTAATCCTGGTTCCAGCAACTTTCACTCCCTACACTTTAACTCTCTCTCTCTCTCTCATCTTAACCTTCCCCAAAATATCCCAGGTACCCCAAGCGCACACACACACACACACCGTACCATCCAAGTTAGGAACTTACCTGTGTGTATGTGTAGGTGGGTTGTATGTGTGAACTGGTGAGTGTGTGTATATATGTCATTGTGTACATGATATACGAATTAGTAATCCGTGTATGTGTACTGAGTGTGTGGGAATTGACAATTGATTTTTGTCTAACTGTTGGGGTGTATAGTGTATGTGCTTGAATTTGTGATAGGTATGCATGTGCCTAGGCTGGTAATTTTGGATGTGTATGTGCCTGAGTTGGTAGCGTGTGTGTGTACGCCTAGTGGAGGTGTATGCACCTAGAGTATGTGTATGCGCCCAGTGTGTGTATGCACCTAATTGATTTTTGAGTGTGTGCATGTGTAATTGTACACCACGCCCTCCTGTCTAACAGCGCAATATTGAGATCCTGAACGTTGGCCTGACCCCACAGGTCAACAATGCATAAATCCTGATTTTTACATGCCTAAGTACCTCTTCAGGTGCTTAAATTCCTTTGTGAATTGAGCCCTAAACCCTTCTAAAGCTTGGGGACTTTTAAAACTGAAAATGCTTATGGTTTTGCATTAACCTTGCAGTTTACAGGGCTCCAAATTACGCAGTTGTCCCTAAACTGCTAGGAATAAGCAAATCAAGTCATTCCTTTCCTCTGTGTGCTTGATGTTGGTCTGGAGAAAGTTCGATAGTAAGATGATTCTTCTTATTTTTGTCCTGCTGATGTTAAAAATTAAAGAGCTAGGAAAGTCACTAGCTATGGTGCAAGAGAGAGTAAGCAACAAAGTGACTTGCCTGAACTGGCATTTATTATTGTATCACTGTGTCCCAGACCACAATATGTCCCAAATTAAGCCATATCATCCCATCCATGGTGGAGAGCTGAGGGAAGTAACACTGCCAAACTACTGCTAAATTTAAACATGTGAATGGGGATCAGTGAGTTTCCAGTTGTGTTTTCCCCTGACACTACACTGGATCCACTCCTATGCTGGGTCTCCTACAATGCCAAGACTGGCTATGATTTCAGCAGAAAGGGGTAAGGCATCCATCTTGATACTGGCCCTTGTGAAATTCACACAAATGAGCAATAATTTAGATGAGTTATTTAGCAAGCATAATAGTTGGTGTTCAGTGACTCGCCTAAGATACGCAGCCATTGAATAGACTGGGTCTTGTGGGATATGCCCACAATTGCAAACTTAAACATGAGAAATGCTGTCTGCCTTAGCAACACCCATTGCGAGCTTTGCTGGCAACAATGCAAAATGTTGCCAGCTTTGACTAATTAAATCTTCCTCTGGTTTATTTTGAGTGATCCTGCTCCCAATGAAATCAAAGGTAATACTGTTTTGAGTCCATATTCCTTGGATCAGGTTTTTCTGTGGCATAGTGGTCACTACCAAGTGAGAACGTTAGCAGTACCTGATGAAGTTGCTTCATTAACTAACCATAGTGTATTGAACTTGTACTACTTTCCCCTGCTGTGCAGAATTAGGGAAACAGAAGCTATCACTTAAACTTCTCAAAGCTATACATAGTCCAGGGCTATTAAGAAAGGGTATAAACCTGCCTCACAAGATAAAAAATATAGTATATTTGTATATCCAGTGAGCATGTTACATTATATTGGGAGTATTTGGTTGTCTCAAAAATACAGATAAACTTTGTTTATGACATGTTGATTTCTTCACCGACCAAGTAAACATAGATGTGAAACTAGCAAGACTCCTGCCAAATGTGGGATGCAGATGTCTAGCTAACCACTGGTTGCATATTCAGCTTGGTTCTCACATGCAGAAATGTAACAGTTTCTCACCCATGGGTGGATACAGAGGGGGTACAGTAGTGCAAATGCACCCCCCCACCCTGCCCGTTTGGACTGCGCTGCATAGTGGTAGCCTCTAGGGACTTTTTCATAATTCCCAAAGTACATAAGAATCCCCCCTTCCCCACATGCTCAAAGGTACTCTCTCTCCTCTTCCTTTGCCCCTCTCCCCACCTGCTGCTTCTGCTCTCCTAACTATCTGGGGTGGGACCAGGGGAAGCTTCAAAGCCACTTCTGCCCTCTCCAGCTGGGCTGAATGGGGATTAGACTCAACTGGGAACAGTGACAGTGGCAGCAGCCGTGATGGATGGGGATTGGTTTCCCCACCCTGCCTAGTCCCCCAAGAGCAGTCATGGGGAGAGAGAACCACCCCACCCACTGCTGCTGCCACTGCTCAGCTGAGCCCAGCCTCTGCATAGCCTGGCTGGAGGAGGCAGGAGAGGCTTTGAAGCTTTTCCTTCACCCAGGACAGAGAAGAAAGCAGTAGTGGCAGATGGGGGAGAAAGGAGGGGAGAGGGTGAGCCTATGAGCACAGAAGGGAAGGGAGGGGGGTTTCTTAAATGTTTTGGGGACTTTAAAAGGCCCTGGCAGTAGGGTCTGCCCAAGGTGGTGGTTGGAGAGAACAAGGCTGGGAACAGGCAATGCATCTCCCCCTTTCTACAGCCAACACAGCTAAATCCTCCATCCAGCCCTGTACTCACCCCAAATCCTGTATTCACAGTTTGGAGAGAATTTGCAAGGGATTAAGATAAGAAACAGCTATGAAGAGTCAGGAAAAAATCAGAAGTGACAAGTAAGGCTCCTGGTTCATAGAATTTTCACATTCAAAATTCTTAGAAAGCCGTAGTAATTTAATAGTGTGCTCTGTATTGCATTAAAACAATGAGCACAGCAGTTTCAAATGAAATCACTGAGGTGGAATCATTTGTATAATTCTATCTCTAGCTCTGAGTTGCTATCATGATTTAACTGCATTTGCAAATGCTGGTGTTTTTCAGATGAAAGGAATAGGAACCCTAAACCAGGAAGTTACATAGTTGTGATTCTAATTTCAGCCTCGGAGGAGGGCCCACATTTACTGAATATTGTCATATGAATAGCAGCCTAGGACTTTTTTGCCTAAGCCTCTAAGGTGACATCAAGATCTCCAGTTCTTCTTGATAGAGATTCTGCTGTACTTGAGGGTCTGAAGGCAGCACATAGCCCAATGCATGCCAACCATTCACTAAGTTGGCCAACAAGCCACAGCTGAGTAGAAAATAACGTACAGCTGCAAGAGATGGTAAGTTTTCAGCCTCTGATTAGATAATTTGCCTCCTCACAGAGGCAGATGAAACTCAGAAAGCCTATCTAATTTATACAATGTAAAGGGAAAGCTCTTATGATTATGGTAAAGACTGACAGGGAAAGAATATGATGGAAATATAGAATAGTAACTTTATGCCTGGTTTATCATACCAAGGCTGAGACTGAATCTAGATATGAACCATTGTGAAGATGAGTACAAATCCACCTTCCTACATTACTAGAATCTGGGTCTGCACAGTGTAAGTTTACTTTCTTGGGTTAATTTTGAGACAAAGGTAAATATAAAGGAGAAAAAAAAAACTGGAGAAAGACAGGATCCAGGAGCAGTTAGATCAACTTGATCTCTAGTTAATGATGGAGCTGGTTAGTTCTCCACGTTCTCTGGCAGACAAGGTTCTTTGGTTAAATGTGGTATCTTTTATTAGACCAACTAAATAGTTGGAAAAATTGTTACAAGCTTTCAGGCACAAACAGCCTTCTTCAGGCATAGGGAGAGTCTGCTGTTGTTTTGTGGTATCCTGGATGGAATAGAAGCCAATATGCAAAATGTATGGCAGTGGGGATCAGAGGCCATGGGAGACAATAGGTGTGAAACAGGTAGGTGTAGGGAGAGAGGGAAATGTTGACCTGGTGATAGAATGTAGCAGGTAAAATGTAGAGCGGTTACTTGGGATTATGGGATGACAGACAGGTTATAATATGCCATAAATACAATGTCTATATTTAGTCCATGATTTTTTGTATCCAGTAGATTAATTAAATGAAGTTCTTAGGCTTGTTTACAAAAGGTGTTTTGTAAATTCCCTTTAAGGATTAGAACTGAGAGACTGGAGAGAGAGTGGTTTTCTTGTGAGAAATGTGCACCCACGGGTAATTGGGTATTTTTGCCTTTGATAGATTTTCAGTGTCCGTTCATTGTGGTACGCAGTTGTTGTTTGGTCTCTCCTACATATTTTCCATCAAGGCATTTAGTGCACTGGATGAGAGAGATGCCATTTCTGGAGGTGCAGGTGTAAGATCCAGGAATGCTGATGGCTCTGTTGTGAGGTGTAGTAATTGTGGGGGTGGTGGAGATCTGTTGGCAGGTTTTATATTTCTTGTCCCGGCATGATCTGGATCCATTTTGTGTGCTTTGGGCAATAAGTTTTGGGCACAATTCTCTTTGGTATAGAGTGGTGATGCCGAACCTCTGGCCTGTGGGTTGAATCTGGCCTGTGGGGCTCTACACAGATATAGAAATTTAGCAGTGGGGCAATGGGCTGCCTCAGTTCCCAAAACACCAAATTTCCAAACCCATAGGAAGCCCCACAGGCCAGATGACTGGACTTTGTTTTCTGGGAATTCATCCAGAGAGAAATCGTCTCAAGTCTGGAAACAGAATATTGAGACAACAGCCTATTGACTCTATATGCTTTTTTTTTTTTCTTGCTTTTTTTAAAGAAAAGTCATTTAAGCCAGACGGTTATGCCCAAATAAAGACTTGGTTAGCTTAAGAATAATCTTTTTGTTTAATTCTAACACAAACTATTTTAGAAGTATTAACATCCTTGGGGAAGTTCCTCAGCTGGTGTAAGCTAGCTTTATTGACTTCAAGCAATGTGGCACACCACGCTATGCTGCACACACCAAGTAAGAATGTAGATTTTCATTCACACGAGTCTGTGTTGTGTGTGTGCGCGTTTTGTTGAGCAAAAAGGTTTTAACTGACACTTTCTGTGCTCTGGGATCAACATGGAAAACAACCTGAGAGAGAGAAAAGATTAAACAGTTTTGAGCTTTCAATCTATAGAGAGTGGGTAACCTGAAAGTTTCCTTTTCCTTTGAGGTACAGTATGATTGGTAAGAACAGGTATTGCTATCTATTTTACTTAGTCTGTCCTTTCTGTTCATAACTTTCCTACTTCACTTACTGGTACAAAAATTTAACTCTAAAAGTGCCTGCTGGCCTTTAAAACTGTTCAAAGCAAGGCTTATCTCACTTCATGCACGGTGAGTACTCACATTAACTTCAGTGGAGATAATCGCAGTACACATAGAAAATCAGACATCAAAGCTTTTTCAAGATCAAAGCCTTACTGCACACTACCAACTGGTTTGGTACAGAAACATCCCACACCATGAATTCAGAGCAACACACACTAGGGACAGAATTTGCACTTAAACTGGTATAAGTGATCAGAAACCGTTCAAATCTGTAACACAACACAAGTTCAGCACATACAAACCATGCTCAAAATGGCTGAAACCAATTTAAGATAAACCTGTATGGATGTAATATCAGATTTAGCTGATTTGGGTTAAATTGGATTGTTGAGCTTCTGTCCCAGATCCCCTCTAGATTAATTTAACTCACAGTCCCCTAGCATCCCAGGATGCTTTGCACCTTCCCCACAAATCTCCCTCGCAGGGTATACAGGCTAGCCTTGGCCCAAGCTGTCTGCTCCACCCAAACATGGAGATGTGTTCTAGCATCCCCTGGCTTCTGGCCTGGGTGACTGCAGACATGTGGCTGCATTTCTAGAATCACAAGTGAATGTCTGTTCACTTGCTTGTCGGTTCAATCTACCCAACTTAGACTAACTGGCAAAGACTGAATTGATTCAACCTTGGGCTTTTTTGAGCAGTTACTACACTGTACAACATTAGCTTATAGCTTCACGACAATTGGAGAACGAGCTGCTTTCCTCACATCTCTTTTCACAACATTCATCTGGCTGGCAGATCTCCTTCAGTCATGCTTGCAATAGAGGCACAAGGTACGTGTAAATTAAAATAACCTGAATCTCAAGGAATAGAAAACAATGGGCACATCTACACATGCCCCCTACAACGCAGTTGTTCCTGTGCTGTCATTTAGTACTTGCTTTAGGAAGTACTAAATGATGGCACAGTAACAGACATTATAGCACCATTCCAGCACCATTCTGGTTACTTTTAGCAGCTACATCGCTGTAGCGATGCTATGGCAATGTAGTGTCAGCATCACAGTTTGTGCCTGCTGAAGTTATGTCGCTGTAGCGTGTTGGTACAGCGACACACTGTCATGTGTAGTTGTACCCAATATGCATCAAAAGTGACTTGCAAGGCAAAATAAACTGAAGGGAGGTTTCCTGCCTCCCCAGTTCTTTTTTTTGGAAATCACTTTCAGCATATCCGTTTTTTTCCAATGTGTCCCACAGACAACTGAGTAAGTAACAGCCCCTGCGTTGTGTATATGGCTAGTTTCATTTTAGCTGACAATAGTAATAAGAAGCAAGAATTAAATGGGTAGGATTTTGCTAAGTTGTGGTTTGTTTGTTTTTTTGGCTACATTGTAAACTAAATTGTTTCCTTTTTTGTCATTCTTATTGGAAAATGGAAGCTGAAAGATAACGGCACTGATAGTTATGGTAGTGTTTGAGTTGCTGCTTAGGAGGCAGTTTTGAGTTGTCTTTTGGGCTGTTGCATAGAGTCTTGTTTACCCAGTCTAGTTGTGGTTTATAAAAAGTATTTGAAAAAGGATCTAATATTTTTTATAAAAATTAAACATTTGTTCATATTAGAGGAAAAGAAAGCAGGTTGTTTTAAAATATAAGCCTGTTTATGGAGCTTCATGGATGTTTAGCTAGTATTTTAAAGAAGCTTTCTTTGTCATAAGTAAATGAACTGTTAATAACTGGATAGTGCCTCGGACGGCCAGAGCCGACTCGAGTTGCGTTAGAAATTGGTCGTACGTCAGGGCGGGCTGGTGAATGGAGAGGCAGACACAACTTATTGGTTGCAAAAAACTTTACTCACGCCGCTTGCAATCACGACGCAGGTGGTCCAGTCGTCTGAACAACCACGCGAGTTGTTCCAGCTGGCGGGGCCCAAGCCAGTTAATCCGTCCGCAGTTCGAAGCCAGCGGGGAAAAGGGGTATGTCTGGGATTGCGCTCGGCGACGGGAAGAAAGATCGATAGGTGATCAGTCTATTGATCGGCAGCCGCAAGTCAGATAACTTCAGAGGCACTCTGCAGCGTGCTCAAAGCTCTTCGACTTGGGCGGAAGTCGCGCGGAATTTTAAACGGCCAGCGAGCCAATTACTAGCCGCCACGTGTGAATAATTTAGCACTGGCCAATAGCGGGGCACAAATTTACATTCGAATGGCGGGAACTCTTTGCACCGTGCATTTCTGTGCTGCAAAGAAGAAATGCATCCTGCAAAGGAAACTGCAGATTGGCGGGAACTCTCTTTCTCAATTGCAGCAGAACACTCTGCCGTGCAAAGGAGCTCTCATGTGGCCAGGAAATTCCATAGTGCCGAGGCACAAAAATCACTGGGTCGTGACAGATAGCAATAGGCATTAGGACTGTGCGAGGCTTTGGCCTGTGCTTCGGATCTGGAGAAGCTTCTGACACCTCAGCATCTGAAGCAACATGTACGGGTCGAAGCACTGGCTTCGTTAGGCTTTCCAAAGCGGTTCGGAAAAGCTTCGGAGCCACTTTGGAAATCCAGCCATAGAGTATAATGGGGAATCAATGAAATATCTATAACTCTGTTGTTTTTTGTCTGATTTGGATGAAATTTTCAGGGTTGATAGTTTATGTTGAGAGCATAAAGCCTATCAAGTTTCAAGAAGATTGGTGCAGGAATTCAGGGGGAACTGCACCCCAAATTCTTGAAAGAAAACTCGTGTCATGTCTACGTGTTACACCACAGGGGGGTGAAAACTGCAGGGATGGTAGTTCCTGGTGAGGCCACAAAGTCTGCCAGGTTTCAAGAAGATTGGTGCACGGGTTTGGGGGGGAACTGCACCTCAAGCTGCTGACAGGCAAAGCTTGTGACATAGATGACCCTGTGTGTGTTAACGCACAACATGGTAAAAGCTGCAGGGATGGTAGCCTCTGCTGCAGCCATGAAGCCTGCCAGCTATCAAGGAGATTGGTGCAGGGCTTCTGGGTTCTGGGACCCTGCACCTTTAGCTGCTGGCAGGAAAAACTTGTGACATGGGTGC